CAAACGTAGAATTATGCATTAGTATCTCTTAGTTGCTCAGGAAAAAATAAAACACATGTTTAATTTCCTAGCCGAAATGCTTAAGCCTGATATGGCTACCTGCCTTACACAGGGTGGGGGGGATATTAAAATATATAGTCATAGAGTGCTTCTAAAACATGGAGTAGGGTGGCATTTTTAACCCTGGTATTATGATTTGGGAGAATCTTTTGAATTCTATTATTATTATTATTATTATTATTATTATTATTATTATTATTATTATTATTATTATTATTCTTCGCACAGTCAGCCAGATGTTCAGACTGGATTTGGCATTTTTGTCTACCTATCGAGTCCTTCCCAAGGACCTGGGATAGGCAGATGTGGATGTTTGATGGTGTTACAGATCTTGTCGCAGGATGGAAGCAGTTCCTAGTAAGGCCGCCTTTTGCAATTGACTAATGGTGAATTTGTCAATGCCGATGATGGTGTTCAAGTGGTGCTCCAGTTGTTTTGGGATTGCACCCAAGGCACCTATTACTATTGGTTCCACCCTTGCTTGCCTTTCCCACAGTCGTTCTATTTCTATTTGTAGGTGTTTGTATTTTGTTATGTTCTCCAGTTCTTTGTCTATTCTATCATCATCATCATCATCATCATCATCATCATCATCATCATCATTATTATTATTATTATTATTATTATTATTATTATTATTATTATTATTATTATTATTATTATTATTATTATTTTCTTCAGATAACCTTCTTGCAAAGAAAGGGGAAAATATCCTGAAGAGCCAGACCAAAGATGGCAGGTTAAAATCAACCTTTGCAGGCAAAACACCGGATTTATCACCGGGCAAAAGGCGACATTTGTTTGCTCTTTTTTTTTTTTAGCTTCCCCTTCTCTGCATTGGAGGAGGGTAGAATTTGGCAGAAAGAAAAAGAGGAAGAATTCTCCGCTGGAGAATTTTCATATAAATGGCTCCTTCTATTTATAAATGGAATATTCCCAATATAGTTGAACGAGCCGTGGTCCAGCATACCAGAGGAGACAGCTTTGAATGCGGGGTGTGTGTGTGTGTGGAAACCATTGAGGAGTAAAGAGGCTGGGAGGGAGGGGGGCTTTGAGAATGTCGACCCTTCCCCTCTGATGGTCAGCCTGCTATTTTGGCCCACCGAGGGAACCTTGGTCTTTAGTTAGCTAGCTGGACGAGAAGTCGCCAACAGCATAAATTATGCTTCTCCGCAGCTGGAGCCAACGTCAGGAATAGCTTTCCTAAATTTAGTCATTTCAGTTCTTTTTTGGGGGGAGGGCTCTCCTGGTGGGCCTCTTAGGCATCGAAATGGGGGACTGGTTTATATATAGGGAGTTGATTTGGACTCCTTTCTGAATTCTTTCAAGGTCTAATATCCATAGTTTGGTCTAACGATTAAAGGCGCCGGGCTAGAAGCTTGGGAGATGGTGAGTTTTAGTCCCATTTTAGGCATAAAAGCCAGCGACTGGGCGACTTTAGGCCGATCACCAGGTTAGAGTGAGTTCTAGTTCCTCCTTAGGCGTGACAGCCGGTTGGATGACTTTAGCCCAATCACCAGGAGACGGGGAGTTTTAGTCCTGTCTTAGCCATGAAAGCTGGCTAGGTGACTTTAGGCCAATCACCAGGTGATGGGGAGTTCTAGTTCCACCTTAGCTGGTTGGGCGACTTTACACCAATCACCAGGGGAGGTGAGTTTTAGTCCTGCCTTAGCCATAAAAGCCAGCTGGGTGACTTTAGAGTTAGACCAATGACCAGGAGACGGTGAGTTCTAGTCTCACCTTAGGCATGAAAGCTGGCTGGGTGACTTTGGGCTAGTCCAGGGATAGGCAACCTTGGCTCTTTTATGACTCTGGACTTCAACTCCCAGAATTCCTGAGTTTTTGCCTTTGATTATGTAGTGCCGATATTATGCTACTTGAATAAAAGATCCTTTAAGGTATACAATCCCTCGAAGTTCTTTTGAAGAGTTTCATCTGTTAGCACCACGACAGCCGTGTTAAAATGGTCACTAAATGAACCGTTCAAAGTCGAGGATTACCCACATATAACTCTAGGCCTTCCACAAGACAACGATAGAATGAAATCTCTATAAACAAATCAAAAACCACCATTAGAACAGTCCCCATGAGTGTGGAGCATAGACCAAGCCCTAAATCTACTCTTCTGCAACTCAAAAGCATTAGATCTACTCAACAGAGATCTCAATCGCGAAGAGAGCCTTGTATGAAAACAATGACAAGCAGATTCCCCGAGGATTATTGAGAATGCCTCATTTTTAGGAAAGTAGTCCACAGAAAAATCATTTATAAAGTAGATACAAAGTATGTTGTATATAAATATTTGCTCTCCTGTTTTGTTTTGTTTTTTAACACAGGCCTTAAATGTTGTTGTTTTTTTCCCCCATTGGAGGGGAGGATAAACGAACTTGTAACTTGGCTTCTATTTTGCAAGATGCAAACTACTGCTTTCGGTTCAGACAGCTATTCATTCCTGTAAAAATATTTATTACTTTTATTTTAAAGAGCTGGGATAGGTTTCAAGGAAAGTGAAGCATATAATTAACTCAGAAACAAATCAATTTAAAGGGAAAGGAAGAAAGAAAGAAAGAAAGAAAGAAAGAAAGAAAGAAAGAAAGAAAGAAAGAAAGAAAGAAAGAAAGAAAGAAAGAAAGAAAGAAAGAAAGAAAGAAAGAAAAGTAGAGACAAAGAGACAGATAAAAAGAAAGAAAGAAGGAAGATACAGAAAGACAGAAAAGTAGAGACAAAGAGACAGATAAACAGAAAGAAAGAAAGAAGGAAGATACAGAAAGACAGAAAAGTAGAGACAGAGACAGATAAACAGAAAGAAAGCAGAAAGAGAGAGAAAGAAAGAAAGAAAGAAGGAAAGAAAGAAAGAAGATACAGAAAGATAGAAAAGTAGAGACAAAGAGACAGATAAACAGAAAGAAAGAAAGAAAGAAGATACAGAAAGACAGAAAAGTAGAGACAAAGAGACAGATAAACAGAAAGAAAGCAGAAAGAGAGAGAGAGAGAGAGAAAGAAAAAAAGAAAAAAAGAAAGAAAGAAAAAAAGAAAGAAAAAAAGAAAGGAAGAAAGAAAGAAAGACAATTAAAAAGCCAAGGAGAAAAAAAACAATCCTAAGGACAACATTTCATGAACATCCTCATGGGCTTTTTTGATTATCCAAGAATATTAGTCCAGATCCTTTTGTTTCTCTCCTGCTCTGTCACTGAAAATCAGAGTGAAGGTGAGGCTGTTAAAACCGAGCAGGGATGGTTAAGAAAAGAGAGCCAGTCCCCCATCCTTCACTTCCTCCACAAAGCCTAGCCAGAGTCCTTCAAGAGCACTTCCCCTTCCATCATTACCATCCGGGACAAATCTAGGCCATTTCTGCCAGACACAAACAGGCTAATAACCCATTAAAGGAGCGGAGATGGCCAGCGTTTATCTTTCTAGCTAGCTGGCATTCCATTTTAGTATCAAGTTACAAGGGCTTCAAAAGGCATTAGAAATCGGTCTGGGGTGTCCACAAATATACAAGGCAGTCCAAATAAAGAAAAAAAAACCAAAGCAAACCCCAGCATTTCCAGTTCAAATCAAGTGAAAATAAAAAAAAATACTGCATATCAGACAGAAATGAAGAGCATCTCACACACATACACATACACACATACACATACACACACACATACACACACAGAGAGAGAGAGAGAGAGAGAGAGAGAGAGAGAGAGAGAGAGCAATCTCCCCTTAGAATTATAAGATAACCTTTATTGTCACTTTTTTCTGTCTTCATCACACTGGCACACATTAAAAGATGATATTCTGATACCTGCTCTCAAAAGAAAATAAATATATAACCACATACACACACACACACAAACACATATACATACACACACACATATACATATGCACACACACACACACACAATTAATCAGTCCATTTTTTTTCCATAGCGGGGGAAAGAAAAGAGTCTTGAGAGTTAATACGAACACGATCATCGTTTCATGAGAAACATTACAGGACTTATAAACAAATCTAAAGGGCTCTTTTGCTGCTAAAATGGAAGTTCCAACTCGCTGTTTTGCACATCCAAAATTGTAAGGCCAGTCCCTTCCTTTCCCTGCCATGCCAGCTCATGGCTGCATCTTTCTTTTATTTTAAGACTCCCAACTTTGAAACCCAGTTTGGGAGAGAAAAACCGTTTAGGGCTTTCCAAAGCAGAACTAAACTTCTCCACCATTAAACGATGTAAAGATGGGTCAGGAGAAACAATTCTGCAAGCTGTTTGTACCTCCAGAAGCTGGAAAATTTAACCCCACACCTCTGTCTCCTAAAGGATTTCTTCTCCAACCTGAGCAGAAATTTGTTACGAAAGGATGGAGTAGAAGATGGAAAAAAAAAAAAGGGTGGTGGTGGTGGTGGCTGGAATGGGGAAAATAAACAAAATCGGGAAGCTTTTTGGCTCCACGGCCTGCTGATCAGGCTGGCATAGCCCTAAAGAACCAAGCAGAGCGGCTTCATTTTGCAGCTCAACTGCACCCAGAAGGTTGTTTACTTAAAACACACAGCTCAACACCCTCCTTTACTCCCACCCCAAGCACAAAGATACAAAAGCTGTGGGCCGGTGAGAAATTTGATCACAATCATTCGGGTTTTTTTTAAAGGCCAGGAAAATCATTCTCAATGAGAAAGGAGGGATGTGCCAGAGAATTGACTTACAAAGTCAATTAAAAAAACCTTCGCTTCCCCCCCCCTTCCCAAATAGTCCGAGCATCAGTCCCAGCAGACAAAACTGCACCGTGTCTCAGCCAAAATCTTCCAGTTGTGCTCATCAGCCCCACATCCCAGAGGGTTAGAAACCTCCATAGGTAGCTGTCATTATTTATTTTTTTAGAGGAAGGATGGATTTGGGAGAGAGAGAGAGAGAGAGAGAGAGAGAGAGAGAGAGAGAGAAGAGCTGCAGTGGACTTACGTGAAGACGAAAAAGAGCGAAGTTGACCCCACTAATAAGGCGGCTGCAGTAGAGACGGGGATGTATTTTGTCGGTTTAAATCTTTTTCCGATACTGCTGGGCATTCTGTGGATTATACATCACTGTGCGTTAATCCAGAGTATCCGAGAGGCACTGGGGAGCCAGAGAGAGAAAGACAGCCAGAGAGACACAGAGAGAGAGAGAGAGAGAGAGAGGGAAAGAGAGAAAGAAAGACAGAGGGGGAGAGAGGGCTAGGGCGTGGGGGAAGCCCCCGAGATGAAGGTCTGTGCACTGCAACGAGATCAAGCAAGGGGAGGGGGAAAGGGGGAGGAAGAGGAGGAAATAAAAGGGGGGGAGAACCGAGACGGAAAGGGGGAGGGAGAGAAAGAGAGAAGAGGGGAAAAAAAAGGGATGGGTAACAGCTGACCTCTTTTGCACAGGAAACTCAACCCACAGAAGCCAGCCCACTCGGCTGATGTCAACCAACCCCTTAAGGTAGCACTGCAGAGAGCTAGACGGAGATGGAGATGATGGAAGCAGAGTTAGGAAGCAGCAATCGGGTGTGGGGGGGTAAAAGGGAACGTCTGAAGCTCCTGAGATGCCTCCTCATCTACCGTCCCCGGAAGGCCTGCTTTCCTGCAGCTGGATGCCTCCCCACCCGGATTCCACCTTCTCCTCCAGAGGAGATCCTTCAGGTTTCAGATCCCGACTGCATCTTTGCGAGGAGGCAGAGCGGAGCCCGAGATCCAGCAGATTGGGAGGAAGAGGAGAAGGCAGAAAGGGTGACCCATTTGGCCTGGAGACGGTTTTGGGAGGGCGAGGGAGGAGATTTCCCCTTGGGATGTGGACATGCCAAGGTGAGCTTTGAAGGGCCGAGGAGGAGTCAAAGAAGACAAGCAAGAGGAACAGGGCAGCTTCGTCAAGTCCAGCTTTGCTCCAATGGGGGATTCTGGAGAACTTGAGACCCTGACATTCTTTGGTGCTATGTTGCTTCCCCTCAACTGCTACTACCCGCTTGGGGTGAATTTTTGTGGTATCCTTGGGACCATCTCAGCTACCATTGCTGCTTTTTATACACAAAGCCCCTCCCCAAAAGGAAAAAAAACTTTGGGTTTCCACGTGTAGGGCGTTACAACTCCCATAATTGTTGAAGAGGCATAAGGGGGGAGGGAAGAGTATAAATTTTACAAATAGTCCTTAACTTAAGACCACAACCGGGAGCAGTTTCCACTGCTAAGACGGTTACTGAGTTTTGCCCAATTTTATGACCTTTCTTTTTTTGTGTGTGTGTGTGGGGGGCAACAGTCGCTCAATGAATCACATGGTCGGTAAGCGAACCTGTTTCCCCCATTGACTCCACTTGTTGGAAAGTCGGCTGGGTAAGGTTGCAAACGGTGACCCCGGGACAATGCAGCCGTGGTTAAATACACACCATGCGACTGAATTTGGGTCATGTGACCGGGGTGGATGGGCGGGGGGGGGGGAGAATGCTGCAATGGTTGTAAATGTTGAGGACCGGTTGTAAGTCCCTTTTGTCCCTGCGGTTGTAACTTTGAAGGCTCGCTAAATGGTTATAAATCGTGGATTACTGTATTTATAAATGATTAAAGTAAATTCATATTAATTAAGACTTTTGGGAGATCTTATTGGCTTTTTAAGATTGATGAACAATTCCAAAGAAGCGTGGGCATTCTGTAAAATCGCTGAACTGTTGTTTTCATCCCGCGGATCTTCCCCAGCCCAAGATCATCAAACCATGTTGACATGTGATCCACCGCCCCTAAAAAGGCACAAGCAGCTCTTGCTTAATGTGAGGAAGGGTCTCAGGAGAAGCAGCTGTCGTGATTAAAGCCCACGTCTCACTTAAGTTTTAATTTCATTCCGCGCAGTTGAGCATTTATAGCGTTCTCAAGTGGACGCATAGGATTTGAAGAAAAAAGTTGGACGAGCTTCCGGCAAGATTTTGGCAGCATCGTGCAAACCGCAAGCCACGGTTTAACCACCCACAAAGGCCACGTTTGCTCCCCCTCCCCAGTGCGGGCCATAAACAAGCCACGGTGGATGGTGTGTGATCAAACCTATCCCCTCACACTTGGCCTTGCATTTAAACGCGTCTTCGTTTTTCTTCACGTCTTCTGAGAAAAGGTGTTCCTCTCTTTTATAGTTGGCACCTTTTGGCTTCAGCCTCACAATTCTAGGAAATCTCAAAAAAATAAAAAATAAAATAAAAATGGTAGCAGATTGCTTGATTTGGGTTTTTTTTGTGTGTGTGTGGACGAAGGTGCAAACTACGTTTTGTATTACATAAATGTTGATATATAAATAGCATAACTGAGTTATACAGAATCCGGATGGACCTAGAGATCAGTACTAGAGTCTGCATAAGCAGCCGGGCAGATTAATAAACAAGAGAGGCTGAATTCCACAATAACCTTAATTTCTGCCTCCTTTAGCTACAAGAGGTTGCAGAGGAAGTGAGGCCCAGTTCTGTTCAGGGCTGCGGCTTCCGAGTGGGCTGTCTGTCCACGCTGTCTTTCTGGTTGTGAGCCACGGAACAGGGTGGGAAACCAAAGAGACTGGCACCTGCCTTTAATTAGCCCCGTCAGAAATTTGAAGAATTCCGTTGCACCCATAAGCGAAAACAGATTTTTTTTAGTGTGTTTTGTTTTTGCATCCATTCTAACCACTGTTGCAAAATACGTCCCATTTCGAACACAATTGAAGTTCTTTTTTTTGTTGTTGTTTTCACGGATGGAGTTGGAAAGTTGAACCTTAACCTGGGTGTTTCAGCGTTCGTCACTTCTCAGAAATCCGGCCGCAATCTGAGAACCGCATTAGGTGTCGAAGTCTTTATGCCGTCCACAGGAAGTTGGGGGGGGGGGGGGAAAGCCACAGTGAGCAAGTTCAGAACTGGCAGGTTACACCATTGTTTCCCCAAACTTAGCTCACAGGTGCGTCTGCCTACACACGCACAGATGGGTTCGCTTTCGCATAATTCACATACAATTTTGCACCCATGTATGTGACAGCTGGCACTTTGCTTGGGGGATGGCTTTTGTTGATTGTGCAGGAACACAATTAATGTGTTAATGTCCTCACCTCCGTTGGGTTGCAAAGGCCTTCTAAGCAGATTTCAGGCAAAGATGCTGAAAAAAAAAGGGATTGAAACGGCAGCTGGATCCCTTAAATTCCCATCCCCGCCACCCTTTTTGAGATAACCTGTCCACATTCCAAGTACACACACACACACACACACACGAACACAGGCCTGAAGGCCCTAGGGTGACCTCCACTGGGCTTAGAAGAGAAGCCAGGTCTTCAGTTCTTGAAGAGTAGCAGGAAGTCCAAGGCCATTAAGGAGATGGGGAAGTCAAAAAGCTTCCAAGATGATGGAGATGGTGAAGCTTGCCAAGATGACATCACCACGATTCAAGTGTGAATTGAAGGACTTTGGCTTTCCTCTTTAAATCATTCATCCTGAGACTCGGCATCCCTGGTTAGGGCTTAGCTAAGCGATGCAGGTCAGGTCCTCACCCTCATCCACCTAATTGATTTCATAAAGCTTAAAAGTTGAGTCCACTTCTCCGTACGAGAAGTACAATACCACAGCAGTATTGAAGCGTTGCCAACTTGGTGGTTCTTCTCCTCAAGTTAGACATGTACGTGTGACCCAACCTCGTCAGCCTACTAGTTCTTATAGAGTTTGGTACCCATCTAGATAACAACATCAGTGCAAGTAGGGAGTAGGGTTTGTGGGGTCCTTGGGGCTGAGTTTGGTGGTTTTCTTGCAGACGTTTCATTACCAAACTAGGCAACATCATCAGGGCTACCTGACCTTATTGAGCAAAAGACACTTGTCCTCTGGAGCAGCTTTTATTTATCAGACTATCTTTATCTGACTTCCATTTCATTTGTTATAGACTAAGCCTCCTAGAGTAGCCCGTGGCGAAATAGGAAGCAAATAAATTTGATAATAATAACCTTGCCACTGAGAGCCTCTGAAGATGATGGGGACTGAATTAATGACTTGGCTGTTAACATCTTCAAAAGTTGAAGTAGTCAGCTGGTAAAGCCACATTTTCAATGTCATAATCTTCTTCAGACCTCTTTTGTTTCGCCAATAGCAGTCTCCGGGGTTAAGCACTAAAGTCACTCAGCAAATTCAGTTGCCAATAGAAAGTTACTGTCGAAAACACAGCTTGTAGTGAATATTAGCACAAAATCACATTGACGCACGCATGCTTTATCAGATGCCTATTTTGTTTTCATCTATTTGTGAGAAACTCATATAGTCTTCACGTTTTTAGCGCTAATAAGTGTATCCTTACGTACAGATTTTTTACCAAGGACTTTGTCCAAATTTTATTTCACTACTATGCAGAGATGAATTATTCACAACAGCTTTAAATAGCGCATGTGGTCACGATTTAGGGAATAAATCCAATCGATTTTTCCCCCCCTTACTGATCTCTATGTATTGTTAATTTATGTTGCGATGCAGTTTAGGCAATTTACGATCCATCCATTAGCATTATTTTGCTATTACTGTGTACAATATTAAGCCGTTCTTCAAATTCGTTTCAGGAATCCTGCTAGGAAGGCAAAAATGCCCTAGAGAGGTGTGTGTGTGTGTGTGTGTTTTGACTCCTGGCAATTTCCTGGACATGTCCCTTGTTTACTTGGCAAGGTTTTTCTCCTTCCTAGTGTCATTGGATGTTCTTGCTTTGACACCTAGGCTGAAAGGGACGCAGCCAGTTTCATAGCTCAAGCAGAACTAGAACTCACAATCTCCCGGTTTCTAGTGCTACATAACCACTACAGGTAGTCCTAGACTTACAACAGTGCATTTAGTGACAGTTTGAAGTCACACTTATGACCGTTGCAGCATCCCTGTGATACAAAATGATCAAAATTCAGCTGCTTGGCAATCAGCTTGTCTTTATGACGGTCGCAGCGTCCCGGGGTCACGTGATCCCTTTTGCGATCTTCTGACGAGCAAAGTCAACGGGGAAGTTAGATTCACTTAACAACGGTGCTACTCACTTAACTACTGATTTACTTAACTGTGGCAAGACAGGTTGTAAAATGGGACAAAATTGATTTTAACCCTGCCACTTCGCAAACGTCAATTTTGGTCGTTAAGTCGAGGAGTACCTGCCCTCCAAACTGGCTCTCTGTAACTAGAGAGTTACAGAATCCCAAATAATAAAAACTGCAGCTTTATTTACTCATACCAGTCAATTAAAAATAAGATTGCACATGTTTCTTTTGTGGTATCTTACTTTATGCTCCTGTTTCTTTTACACAGCATCGTTGATACATTATTTTGTTTTAATATATAAAGTTAAACAAACACTATATAAATCCTGTCGGTATGGCTTCGTTTCTGTTGCTGAACAGGTTTCCACCATAAAAAAATTTGCCATGGGAAGAGGCTTCGGAAAAAGCACACACAAGCGTTGCATTTTACAAAGGGAGCGAACAGAACAGGCAACCTGCATAGTACATTTACACACAGCAACAACAATGCAATTGTTCCCTTCCTCTCCCTGTCCCCCCCCTCCCAAACCCAAGTGACAGATGAGGAGCTGTACTCGAGAGGCACATTCCACAGATGCTCTTCCCTTCACACATCATTCGCTTTTTTATGTCCCAGAAATTACAATACAGAAACCAAGTTGTTAAATAGCTCAAAGGGCAGAGGCAATCCATTATACACAAGTTATCCTGAGACCATAGAGATCGACGGTTCTAAGAACCAAAATCACAGCACACCAATCGTACCCCCTCTTACAAGAATTAAGCAAAACGAAAAGATGAAGCTTAAATTTATTTCAAAGTTAGATGGGTGAACAGTGCCTCTTTTTTGATAAATCATTCATAGTGATTTCAATCTGAAAATAAGCTTTCAATGCCCTTTTACCTTACTGAGGGATATAGTGACAGGTCCTTGGGACTGGTTGAGGTATTTCTGCATCTCCCTACTTGCAGTCATGCCTTAGTCAAGATATAATGACGCAAAAAACCAACACTACAGGAAGAAACGTATACATCCATAAAAATGTAATGATGATCGTGGGGAGGGAGGAAGGGAGAGAGAGAGAATAGCAAGGAAATACTTAAAATTTTCATTAAGAGGTCAAGGGTGAGTTCAAACAGTTCTGCTGTTAATTGAACAAAAGCTTTTAATTAAAGTAATAACAAGTCTACTGTGCACATTTTTTCAAGCAAGAGAAAAGGAATGTTGTATAGCCACGCTCTCAAGTGTGTAAGCCGATGTTTGTCAACCTTGGCAGCCTGAAGACGTGTGGACTTCAATCTCCCAGCTAAGCTGGCTGGGAGATTCTGGGAGTTGAGGTCCACACATCTTAAAAAGTGGCTGAGATTGAGAAACAGCAGAATAAGCTGACATGGAGAACTTGACTCTAAAGAAACTAGGCTAGGCGTTCTCAATTTCTATGCAGGACAGACAACCTGTGTTACTTTTGGGGAGGTTTGTACAGTCAAGAGAAATGAGTTAAAGAGGGAGTACATATTGCAGAATATACACACTCTGAGAAAGCCTGAGTTATATTTTTTTAAAAAATCTCTTTCTGAAGACCAGTTATAATCCATTTTGCCATGACGATGGAAAGCGACAACATACGCGATCGGATGAGCATAGCCCGTGGTTATGGATGCAGAAGCTCATCATATAAACATTTTTGGTCTCTCTGGTGAAGATTAAGGACGTCCTAGGAATCTTAACAGGATAATCTTCCAAGGGTCAAGTGACAATGAGGAGGGAGCCCACAATGACACCTTTGTTACCCAAAAGTTTATTGTTAAATGGGGGAACCTCGTCCTCGACTATCGGACGCAAATTCAGACATCAGTGCTTTTTCCTGGGCGGTGTTAAGAAAGGTGATTTTTGTCACAACCCAAAAGTTATCTTTAAAAAAACAACAACAGTGAAATTCCCGCCCTCCTCCCGTTTCCCCAGAACACGCTATGAAAAAGCTATAATCGAGACAGCAAAGCAACAGAAAATATTATTTGCCTTCATACCTACATGGAGAGTTTATATTGAAAATTTTTACAGAAGGAACTGGATTTTTGTTCTGTTTACACAGAAGAGCCTGTCCAGATTTGCAAGGAAGGATTCTGCTCTACAGAAAAAAAAAGGCCATTGAAACCGTGTTTTTTTTTTTAAATTGCATTCGCTGGACACCTCCCACTTTTGCTAATAACTGGAACAATTTTTCTGGATCGCTGCTGTCGATCAAAAGAAACCACAATATTTTGAAATACATCACAGGCCTTTGTGGGATGACATTAGATTCTAAGGGGGCTAATAAATCTGCACAAGAACACTCAAGGTCACTCAAACCTCAGTTATAAGAAAAGGAATCTTAGCATAAAATTTCTTCTTCCAGTCATTACAACATTCAGCCACAATGCATCAGAAACATCTTCGTTATTTGTTCTCTTTTTTCCCCCCTATTGGTAGAATTCAGTTACACTATACCTCACCTAAAATACGCACCCAGACATATAACCCAAGGTAACAAGGACAGCCACACAAAGTGTATATATAGAAAACCCTGTCCTTTTCACACCGTTTCCAAAGCTTTATTTATTCTCTCCTGGAACACTATAAATAAGTATTTCCACTATGGAAAAGAAAGTTTTAGCACAGTACATTTTCATGACTGGGGAATGGATCTTTTTTTTTTTTCCCAAAAGGGCAAAAGCTTAGAAAAAAAAAATCAGAATACAGTTCTTTATAAAGTCCCTTGTAAAAATTAAGAAAAAAAAATAAGAAAAAAAAAGGAAAAACACAAGGCCCAAAATGATTTATTGCTTCTCTTCGGTCTTTTCCTTGTCTTCTTTCTTCTCCGATGCTTTGCACTCGTCCTTTACAGAAAGGTCTTCTAGTTTTTCAGCAATTTTATCAGCGCTACCGTTTTTGTCTGTTTCTGCTAAAAAATGTCGGTGTAGACCATTAGCATTTAATAGGCATTAGCTGGAAACACGGTTATGGGATGCAGCAGGAAAACACTGCCTTTGTAATAATGTACAATTGAGTTTGAACTGCAGATATAGAGATAGGCCCCCAAACTGAACATAACAAATATGACAGCCTTTTGGTTTAAATATATACATAAAAAAAGAAAATCTTCTAATTTACTTTGCCTGAATACCTAAGAAGAATTACTTGGAATTTTCACAAGTTTAACCCTTAAAACTCTGTTCAGAATTAAATGTGATGTGCCAAGACAGTTGAAACAGAAATCCACAAGGAAGGAAATGTTTTGTTTTATTCTGGACTGCTACTCTAGCAGGCTTAAAAAGCACTGTGACTACTGCAGTCACGCGCAGAGTGAGCCTGCCGATACACGTGAAAATGGGAAGCCTGTTGAACAGAATGTTGGCGGCCTCAACACCTCAGGATTAATGAAAACACAAAAATATTGCTTCCTTGATAAGGCTCCCAGTCTCGAAACAATCGCTCCAGTTTCCCGCCATATTCAGCCAGATGGAAAATCATTCTGTCTATTGTAGCTAAAGGTAACTGGTTTCATAGATACAAGTAGCCCCTCAACTTATGACAATTCTTCCATCACTAAGTAAGGAGGTTAAATGAATCACCCCCAATTTTATGACCTCCTACTTCAGTCATTAAGTGAATTGTTAAGTGAATATTGACGTTGGGATTCTATTGACTTGGTTGGAAGCTGGCTAAAAAATTTGCAAATACTGATCGTCTGATCCCAGGATACTCATAAATACCCACTAGCTGCCAAGCGCCCTAATTTTGATCAGGTGACCATGTGGATGCTGCAGTGGTTGCGAGTGTGCGGACTAGTTGTAAGTCAAAGACTACTTGTGTCATGTTGAATCTTGGCCCACTGACTTTTTATTCAACGATACTGGAATATTTTCATAAAGTTGAGCTATACATCATAAAAGACAACTGTGATTAAGGACCGATATCCCAAGTCAAATTTGACTGTTATTTTCTATAACTAAATGCGAAAGAAGGGATGATGAATGACAAAAGAATTATATTTTCCCCCCCAGAAAAATGAAGAAGCAAAATCAAGAATTGGCACAAAATGAGTATTAAATGGCAGGGCAAGTAAGGGAGAAAGGAAAAAAATAACTCCTTCAGGTAATTCAGAATGCATGACTCCCATGACCAAGTCTAGACACATCCCACACACTTTGTGTAAAATATGTGGTGGAGACTTTTATCTCTTCCCTACTTGTCTGACTGATCAGGGACTTCTGCAGAAATGCTTCAAACATTCCCTTTTTTTCAGAAGTAAGCCAACACAAACATCTTACCTTTCTTTCCCTTGTTATCAACTTCATTCTTACATTCTTCAAATTTCACTTTGAATTTCTGTGCGTCTGTTTGAAAGAAGCAAAAAAACAAAAACAAAAAAAAACAGAGAAATGTTACAGTGGATTTAAGCCAGTAACTGGAAAGACACGCAGGGAAGCACACACTTCATCCCCAGAGTGTCAAATGCTGCTAACATGGGATGTTCTTGCTTTGACAACATGGGGAGATGCAGCCTTTTTCTCTCCTATGCTTCACTCTTAGAATTAAATGATATTGGGGGGAGGGGGAGGAATGTAATGGGAGTTAGTTAGACATAACAATTCAGAGGCTTTTGAAATAAGAGATGATAAAGAAATGGACCCAGGAGGGAAAGCTTGCATCTCAAACTAATTGGAGAATGTGATTTATGACTGTTAATCAGAGGAGGGAATTGTGCTTCAGATTTCATGGCCGAAGCTATATTACTTGAATAAAGATTCTTTAAGGTAAATAATGCCTTGAAGTACTTGGAAGAGTTTCATTTCTCGGAACCATGACACAGAGACTACACAGAGGCTACGGTTTCCGCCAAATTCCACCTTTCCAAGGCCCTGCCGCCATTTTGGTGGGAAAACAAGTCCCTGAGCCAAGGGTTAAAACAAGCAAGGGCGAGGTCATTGCAGAGTGAGTGAATTTCTACACAACCCAAAATTGTGAACTGGTATGCTGGGAGAGGCTACAGGAGTGGCCACTTGAGGTCACTGTAATCTAGCACTGCAAGTACTTCATTCAGCGGGGAAAAAGGAGCGTTGTAACTTCACAGGCTGAGGCTCAGCCAATTTCACTGTATACATGTTATACTTTGATAATAAAGGGTTTATTATTATTTTATCTCTCCGAATCCATATTTGCTTCATTCCTTTGCAAAGTTGAGATACCGGTAGTCCTCAACTTACAACCGTTCGTTTAGTGACCAGAGTTTTCACACTTAGGACTGTTGCAGCATCCCACGATCAAAATCCAGATGTTTGACAACTGACCCATACTTATGATGGTTGCAGTGTCCCGGGGTCGTGGGATCCCCTTTTATAACCTTCTGAAAAGTAAAATCAATGGGGAAGCCAGATTCACTTAAGAATCACGTTACTAACTTAATAACTGCAGTGATTGATTGACAACTGTGGCAAGAAAAGTTGTAAAATGGGGCAAACAGACTTAACTGTTTTCTTAGCAACAGATTTTTTTGGGCTCAACTGTGGTTGTAAGTCGAGGACTACCTATACCAGGGGTAGGCAACCTTGGCTCTTTTATGACTCGTGGACTTCAACTCCTGAGCCAGCCATGCTGAGGGGAAAGGGAGAGGTTTCCAAGCTGAGCCATGCTGGCTGAAGAATTCTGGGAGGTGAAGTCCACGAGTCATAAAAGAGCCAAGGTTGCCTACCCCTGACCTATACGTTACACCTCTAATACATTGGACTACCTCCTTTCTGGTTTAAAAACTTTGAGTCTCCTCCTGGCACCCTGAACAGATTCCTGGAACAGCGTGAGGTTTTTCCCATCATTCCCTAGGCCACAAGGGGAGGAAGACCACTTTTTTAAAAAGCCCAATTTCTCCGAAACAAGTAACTTACTTTCTGCATTTAAAAACCGAATTGCCAGAAGTTCTGGTTTAGGACTCTCATCTGCAAAATCAGCGTGTGTATTCCACACCCAGGCCCGGTCACTCCCAGCGTTGGGCTTCAACTCCATTAAAGGTGTGACTAGAAGTGAGGAAGGGGGGGGGTAGTTAGGCACAGGTAATGCAGCAAAAGATGATACAAACTACCAAACCATCTTACAATCTATACAAGCAATCTTATAAGGCTGTGAAAAGCCAGCATGGAAGATCAAGTCTATCTAAAAAAATAACAAATGTGCAATTGTCTATTATCTGTATTTAAAATATTGTTGAATATATTTCAGAATATTATCACTGTTATTCAGAGTTAAGGGTTCGTTGTTACAATACCAATTTATACAGGAGTCTTAAGTAGGAGAAGAATACTAAATTACATACTGTAATGATTAGCACAGATTTTTAGAGTTTTATCTCTCCTCATTAAGAGGCGGATGGTCCCCCTCTCTCTGTGCTTCAGGAGTTTTACGTCCCCAGTGCCACGTTCTTTCCATTCTGGGAGGTCATTTTCTGACGCAAATCGGAAAAGTTTTGCTCGCCTTCATGAAAAAATAAAATACAAAAAGAAAAAAAGAAAAAAAAAGAGAAATTAATGGCAATGAATATGCCAGAGATTATACCGAACTAGGATTGTTTAGTATCACTAAGATAACTAATTTCTAATTTCAACTAATTTTCTTCAACAGACAACACAACCTTGAAAGTTATAATTTGATAAAAGCCTCTGGAGAAATTCCTTTGAAACGAAATGCCTTTAAAATTTACTTTCTGGATGGCTAAGTCAGTTTCAGTCAGGTACAATGGAGTTCAAACACTTTTTAAATACGTTTTTAAATGAAGCTTCATGATGAGATAAAATATAGAAGAAACAAAAGTTAGTAAATAAGAAAAGGAGAAACATGCAAAGACAAAAAGTAATAGTTTCTGACTTTCTTCAGCGCAGCAGACTACAAAAATAATACTGACCTTTAACTTTACATTTCTGAACCTTAAAAGCCATTTCTATCAATTATGAAATCATTTTAATTACCTAAACTCAACGTTTCATTCCCCCCCCCGTTTCGAGCAGAAAATTGAGAAGTGGTTTCAAAGTAGAAATAAAACTAGATGAATTCTTTCATTTAAAGAATCAATTTGGCCATGTCTGCTAACTCCATCACCTTTACCATCTTACAGCGGAGTTTCCCAACGTTTCCGGCTTTGTGGACTGGCGGGTGGAGGGGAAAGAGGGGATGGTTCTGCAGGAGTGCCTGGGAAGTGTGTGTGTGTGTGCATGCTACTTGTGCAAGTGAGAATACAAGCTTGCCAGCCGTTTCTGCGGCCTGGTTGCAAACCCCTCATGGCCCACTGGGTTGGGCACCTGTCCTAGAGTTTAAACAACCCATTTTGCTAAAAGATAAGCCTGCAGATCTTCACATTTCCCACAAAAATTGGGACTTCAGATTTACACCTGGAAAATTTACTCTTACACTTCCCTGAAAGTTAAGAGAACCTGCTAATTTAATTGCGGAAAGCTTCGGCTGGAGCTTACATCTTGAAAAGTTCTTCCTCATCTTCCTCCAGAGTTCTGATCTCTTGCTCAGGAAGAGAAACGATGGGCTCAAACTGCGGGTCGTGGTTAGAATCATCTGCATTGTCGGTTGCTGAGTCATGCTCCTCATGTGCATCCTGCAGAGTTAAGAGAAAAAAAGCTTGAAATGCATCAAAGGCTTGTTGGAGAAGATCATTTCAAAGAGTTACGGTAGACATTCTCATAAACATACCCATCTGACTTTCATTAGAAAGCTAATTTAATCCTATTTCATTCCGAAAACAGCAGCAACAGTTTTTTTATGGTGGTCAATAGAACTGCAAAAGAACACCCAGAGTTCAAAAATCTCACAAGCAGAAATCTCCAAATCGTGTTTTTAGTTTATCACTTTCTAAACTTTAGAAAAAAATCAGTGCAAGCTTGCAACACCACTAAATATAGGTATATATGATGCTCAAATGACATCCAAGCATATTAAAAATGTGCCCTAAATGGGTGGTGAACATTGTCCCTCCACCAAGGAATGAATGCCACCACAGATTTGTGAAGAGTATTAAAACATCAATAAAAGGATGCTAACTGTCACAAAGAACTGAGGCATTATTCAGGAGTCTTTGGCAGTGGCCAGCAGAGAAAATAAAGTATAAACAAATTATGTGTTCCCTTGTTTTGTACTTTAAAACAGGTGTCAAAAACTAAAAATGAGAACAGATTAGTTGGAATTTGATGGCTACTATATAAATGAGGATTTTAAAACCTGAAGGTTTTCCTCCTCCAAAATTGAACCTTATTTGCATTTTATTTTGTGCTTGAGAAAAAAGATACATCCTTGAAACAAGTAATGATGCCCAAAATGACTTTCATACATTGCAATTCTTTTTACAGCAATCTGGTTTACCAAAGTCTGAAGGTCCACAAAGACCCCTGCTGCTTTCTTAAAATTTTCAACCATGGCACCCGAAAACCCCTGATTTAAGGGATACACTGTTGTTCACTTAGCCCAGCACTTCTCAAAGGGTGGCCTGGAGTCCCCAAAACCCTTTGCTGCTATTCATAAATTCCAATAAGCAAACATTTTAACCTTTTCTCAACTTAAAACTTCCGATACCTCCATAGATATAACCCAGAGATCAACCAAACCTCCCCCATCATTTTTAAGAAGGCAGAGAAAGAGGTCCTGGCACCAAAAGACTGGCGAACCTAGGAAGCCACAAGAATGTTTGCAAAGTTTAAGACAGGCATAGAAATTTAATATGTATGTATGTATGTATGTATGTATGTATGTATGTATGTAATGTACTCGAAGTTTTTAAGAAGAGACTGGACAGCCATTTGTCTGAAATGGTATAGGGTTTCCTGCCTGAGCAGGGGGTTGGACTAGATGACCTCCAAGATCCCTTCCAACTCTGTTATTCTTTTTTTCCCCTTCCTTCCTCCCTCCCTCCTCCAACACTGGAAGTTTTTAAGAAAAGACTGGACAGCCATTTGTCTGAAATGGTGGTAGGGTTTCCTGCCTGAGCAGGGGGTTGGACTAGATGACCTCCAAGATCCCTTCCAACTGTTTTTTTTTCCTTCCTTCCTCCCTCCCTTTTCCAACACTGGAAGTTTTTAAGAAGAGACTGGATAGCCATTTGTCTGAAATAGTATAGGATTTCCTGCCTGAGCAGGGGGTTGGACTAGATGACCTCCAAGCTCCCTTCCAACTTTATTATTATTGGGGCCCGGAATCACCTCGTAGGGGAGATGAGCGCCATGAAAATATTATAATAACCATCCATTCATTTAATAAATAATAAATAATGATCGGGACCGTGCCTGGAAGGGTTCCGGGGGGAGAAACAATAGGCGGGCATCGCAGCTGGGGGTCAGGGATGGGGAAGACCCCCCCCATCGTGGGAAAAGCCCCCCCCCTTCAAGGGGGGAGGTTCGGAACACCCCCCCGCAAGGCATGGGGCAAGGAAGACCACCCGTCTTTTTTTGGGGGGGGGTTCCAGAATCTTCCCGCCGCTTCTCAACACCCCCCCCGGGCCAGGGCGACCACGTGGGAGGGCGGAGCCAAGCACGAGGCCGCAGGACCCTTTCCTCCCGCCGGGACTGCAACTCCCCGCAGCCGGCCAGGCAGGGAATGCTGGGAAATGAAGTCCCAGCGGCGCGAGGGCCTGAGGCGGAGGGGGGGCTCCCTGTATATGTGTGGGGGGGGAGGGGATTCGGTGGGGTCCCTCACGGGAGGCCGAGGCCGCTGAGGGAGGGCCGCCCCGCGCCTGAGGGGCCTAGCGGCGGCGCGAAACCTTCCCCCCGGCTCGCCTCCCGCCTCTCCTCACCTTCGTCTCGGCCATGGTGGGTCCCGTCGGGCTCGCTCCCCGTCGCCGCACGGCTTCCCGCCTCCGCTGCTGCCCGCTCCCGCCGCGAGCTCGGTCGTTGCGCCGCCTGGGCTCCGCCCCCGCCGCTCAGGCCACGCCCACCGCGGTCCGCGCCGCCGCAAGGCCTGACGGGAACGTGGGCCTAAGCTCGACGGCCGCTTCTAAAAACTAAAACCCAGCCGGCCGGCCTCTTATCGCCGTTCTCCCCCGGCCCGCGGGTGGGCAAAGGGACTTTCCTCGCGTGTGGTGTGGGAAGGAGAGGAACGGCCGGGCTCGAGCAACGTGGGGAGGCCCCGCGCGCGCGCTTTCCGTCCGCCTTCCCGTCGGCCCTCGCGCGACCCTTCCGCTCTCAAGCTGACGCGCGAATGCGCACGCATGAACATACGGGGATTTTTTTTCCCCCCAGCCCTTCGTGGGGGGGGGAGGGGAGGAAGAGGAGAAAAAAAGAAAAGCCGGAGCGAGGCAGAGCGACGTTGTGCACGCGGCGTCATGCCGGCCCCGCCCCTTTTTTCGCGCCTGCGCTCTGCCAGGTGGGTGTTTGGGACTGCTCGCCCACTGTGGCGGCCGAGGTGAGTGGAAAGTGCCGCGCGGGGTTCCTTGGGCTTCTAGTCGAGCATAGGGGCGCCCCTGCAACCTTCCTCAGCCTGGCGCCCTCCGGATGCGGATGGATTGCAAATTCAGGAATGCCCCGCTTGTAGGAAGCTCGCTTAGACGGCGCTAGGTTGGAGGAGCGCTGCTGCGCAGGGGGTTCTGGGGCATGTAGTTTTAACCCCTCCCAAAAGCTCCACCTTGGGGAAGGCTGGAGTTGTTCAATTGGATGCCTTGAGTCCCCCCCCCCCCCCCGGCCTTTCCTGCTCATGAACCCTGTTCCTTTCTCCACCCTGGGAAGTTTAAATGGACTTCAATTCCCAGAATTCTTCAGCCAGCATTTCAATACAAATCAGGAACTTTCAACACCCAAACCAGAAATAGCACAGGACTAATAATGCACAATCGTGGCCAGTCTAGCTGAAGCTGGGCGTAACATCCACTCACTTTTCCAGGTTTTCAAAAATAGACTGGATAAACCATTGGATTGGGATGGTATGAGTGGTTGGACTAGAAGACCTCCCAGGTCCCTTCTAGCCGTATGATTCTATGTTCTTCAGATCTTCCTGGATCAATCCACAGCTTCTGCTTGCTTGTGTTTTGCTGGTTATCTGGTTAATGTTTTGCCAGGATGAGTTTGTTACAGTGGTCTCCTGTTTCCTTAGTGCTTGGCATAGAGGACAACTGCTAAGCCTTGCAGCTATTTAAAGCTGATTTTTACTACAGGTATTGATTTTTTATATTTTTAAAAGATACCTCTCCTAGAGCAGGGTAAGCCAGTATTCTAATAATCCATCATCGTGGTGGCTAAGAGTCACAACGATTCTCTATCATCCTCGCTACTCAGGTTAATTGTGGTTTATTACAGTTCATTTTAGGCTAGTTTTGCCCTCAAATGATCTCCCTGTGATTTGGTTCCAGTTTTAATGTAAGAGAATAAATTTTGTTATTTTTTCTTTACAGAATGGCTGAAAGAATGGAAGGAAACGAGGACTCCGTGGGCTCGGGGGATACAAAATGTGCCACCCCGGAATCCGTGGTCCAAACCGAAGAAACCAATACGGGGAATACTTCCGATGCTTCCAGCATGTACAGGTATATTAAAGAGGATTTGTTCACCTCAGAAATCTATAAGGTAGAACTTCAGAATCTCCCCAAATATATTGGCTTTAGCGAAGTCAAGAAGTTCCTTGCCCGATACGGACTCAACCCGCATAAGATAAAACTGATGGGGAAACAGACCTTCGCTTTTGTCACCTTTAAGAGCGAGGAAGAACGGGACAAAGCGATGAAAGTTCTCCACGGGGTCCGGTGGAAGAACCGGAACCTGAGTGTCCGCTTGGCCAAACCAAAGGCGGATCCCATTTTGAAGAAGAGGAGGAGAGAGGAAGGCGCCGAAGAGGTGTCGGCCAAGCGTCATTCTTCGTCAAAAGATGGCGAAGAGGAGTCTCTGAGCAAACAGATCGCAGACGTGGTGACTCCTTTGTGGGCGATCCCTTATGAAGACCAGCTGGTGAAGAAGAAGCAGCAGTGTCAAGAAGTGCTGGCGAAACTGACCAGGTAATTTTCTGTTCTGGAAGATTCACTTCATAACCGACCACGGTGAACTTCTCCAGGTCCAGCTCATGGAAACGGCCAACGCAGTTTCGTTTGTTCCACGCTTTACAAAGCAGGAAGGTGTCCCCTAATGGCATAATTGGACTGAAATGTGGAAACTTTTGGGGTTTGTGGTAGGGAGAAGGGGTGGATGTGGAGCTGACGAACGCGCTGCCTCATGGGAGGGTTGCCTCATGGCGACAGGCTAGTGAGAATTTTGTCCCTTCGTGGTTGCAAAGATGGCCTACAACAGAACCTCCAGCCCACAGGCGTCCGTAACCATCCCATTTCCTTGTTGTTTGGGGATGCAGAGTACAAGTAGTCCTTGACATACGACCACAGTTGAGTCCAAAACTTCTTTTGCTGAGCAAGACAGTTGTTAAGTGGGTTTTGCCCCATTTTACGACCTTTCTTGCCACCGTTGTTAAGTGAATCCCTGCAGTTAAGTTAGTGACACCGTTATTAAGCGAAGCCGGGTTCCCCATTGACTTTTGCTTGTCAGAAGGTCCCAAAAGGGGATCACGTGACCCCGGGACAATACAACCGTCATAAAGATAAGCCAGTTGCCGAGCGTTTGCATTTTGATCACGTGACCATGGGGATGCTGCCATCGTGGTTAAGTGTGAAAAATGGTTTGGATTTTGGGCTTGGGAAACGGGGACAGCCTCCTCCACAGCTTAATAATAATAATAAAGTTGGAAGGGACCTTGGAGGTCATCTAGTCCAACCCCCTGCTCAGGCAGGAAACCCTACACCATTTCGGACAAATGGCCGTCCAGTCTCTTCTTAAAAACTTCCAGTGTTGGAGCATTCACCTCTTCTGGAGGGAGGTTGTTCCACTGGTTAATTGTTCTAACTTCCCGTGCTTTAAACCATGGCTTAGCCAGGATGCTTCGTGATGGGACTCCGATGTTGGTTTTGTCCTTTCCTTCTCCTTCTTTATCGCCAGTAAACCTTTTTTTTTTTTTACCTTTTTGATTTCAGGGAAGTGGGAAACAACAACCGAGCGCTTCTCCCATGGCTGTTCCTTCAAAAGGAGAAGCACGATGGGCTATGTTGCTCCTTGGAGGGAGTGAAGCCATCACCCTTACAGGTGCATGCGTACCGGGAGTTTCGCGCGATCCCCATTTAATAAAGGTTTGGGAGGACGTGAAGCACCGGACGTGCCTACCCAGCCTTGCTCTTCGCACTGAAGAGCTGCTAAGAAGCGTAAAGGGTCGAATGAATACAGGTAGTCCCCGAGTTACAACAGTTCATTTAGTGACCGTTCGGAGTTAGAACGGCACTGCAAAAAGTGACTGACGACCCTGGCAGCATCCCCATAATCACGTGATCAAAATTCATACGCTTGGCAACTGACTCATATTTACGACGAATTTGCAGTGTCCCGGGGTCCTTGTGATCTCCTTTTGCGATCTTCCAACAAGCAAACTCCACGGGGAAGCCAGATTCACATAACCGTGTGACTAATTTAACAACCACAGCGATCCACTTAGCAACTGTGGCGAGAAAGGTTGTAGAACAGGGCAAAGCTCACTTCGCAAATGTCCTGCTTAGCAATGGAAATTTGGGGGGTCAGGGTTGTGGTAAGTTGAGGACTACCCGTAACAATGGACCCTGGAAAAAGGACATATGGCCCAGATTTGAAGTTTCAACAACTCCCTTCCCCGCTTGTGACTGCGTTGTGGATGCTTGGCAACTGCCCCTTTTTCTACCTCTCTTTGCAGCATGCTTTGGTCGCGTGACTGCGATGAAAGCATGTTTTGGGCCAGAAACTAGCGTTTATTTCCGATTTCTGGCAAAACACACCCACTGCAGATAGCGGGTTCATTTCTCCTAACAGCTAAGGTGACTCACTTGAATGACCACCCATATAAAAGATGGTAAAATCGGGTCAAGTCGGGTGATGACCGGCTTAACGACCGGCATGGCTTAGGACCGTAATTCCAGGCTCAATTTACAGCTGTAAGTCGAGGACTGCCTGTATTCTCACGATTGGTGGTGTCGTCGTCGCTCCTCACGTTTGTTTTGTACCGTCCCCAACGACTCTTGTTCTGAATGTTGCCTTGCTTTGCCTTTAGACCGAGTACCGCAACAAATGTGAATTTTTGATTGGCTCGGGCCCAAATCAAGAAGACAAAACGGTCGGCTTCCGCCTGGGCAAATACAAAGGGGGTTCCTGTGCGGTGGTGGAACCCTTCGACACCATCCACGTTCCCGCGGCGGCAAAAAAGGTGGTGAGGGCTTTCCAGGACTACATCCGGTGAGCCAGTCTGCTGTTCGTCGTTTTTTTTAGAACGTTTCTTCTACGGGAGTATTCTGCTTTCGGTTCTCCAGGCGTGGCTTTTGCAGGATGAGACGGCTATGGGGTCTTTGGTGCTCTCTGAGCTTGGTGGTTTTCTTGCAGACGTTTCATTACCCAACTAGATAACATCATCAGTGCCAGAAGGGATCGGAGTTTGCTTTCTGTTTATGTGCAGTGGCTTGCCCTGTACAGCACTGAAGGTGTTACTTAATAGGGTAATGAAATGTCTGCAAGAAAACAACCAAGCTCAGAGAGCATCAAGGACCCCACAGTTCAACTCTGAACTACAAAAAATAATGGTATTTATATAGCCACCTATCTTACCTGGAGTAGCTCCCAATCAACAGTTGCACTTACTAAGTCCTGATTTAGTAATTAAAGATTTGTAAATTACAGGTCAACCTCTTATGGTGTTTATAGCCCAGAAACTTACGAAGGTCACTGGAAACAGCTAACAGTTCGTACTAGCTTGGATGGCCAGGTCATGGCAATTGCCTATTTTAACCCACAGGTATTAAACTTTGGTTTCTATAGTAAAACATAAGCTTTGAGCACCTTTTTTTGATGTCCCCGGAAACTGCTTATTGTTCTTGGATTTAACGCGCAGTTTCCCTGGAGAAATGTCAGCTATGCTTCAGATGTTATCTTCATTTTGCTTAACTGTCTTTAAAACCTGCTGTGCTGTTCAGACATCTAAGCATCTTTCTGCTTTTTTGGAATCTCTAGAAGTTGAGCCAAGAAGAACGGGCTACATTGCAAAGCTCTATGGCTACGTACTTCACCGAAGGTCCCGGGAAAGACAGCGGAATAACGTCTTTATATTTTGTGGAAGAAGGTCAGAGGTAACAACAAAAGATATTGTTTAGGGTGAACTTTTTTTTAGAAGATGAAGGCAAGATCGGACGTGGGATACCATCACTCCCTCTAAGGGAGAAACTAAACTGCTATAAAATACAGCTGGATTTTCAAAATGCTAAGCCATTTAGGCTGCATTAACAGAGGGATAGAATCAAGATCACGTGAAGTATTAATACCACTTTACAATGCCTTGGTAAGGCCGCACTTGGAAGACTGCATCCAATTTTGGTCACCACAATGTAAAAAAGATGTTGAGACTCTAGAAAGAGTGCAGAGAAGAGCAACAAAGATGATTAGGGGACTGGAGGCTAAAGCATATGATGGAACGGTTGCTGGAATTGGGTATGTCTAGTTTAACGAAGAGAAGGACCAGGGGGGACATGATGGCAGTGTTCCAATATCTCAGGGGCTGCCCCAAAGAAGAGGGAGTCAAGCTATTCTCCAAAGCGCCTGAAGGCAGGACAAGAAGCAACGGATGGAAACTAATCAAGGAGAGAAGCAACCTAGAGCTAAGGAGAAACTTCCTGACAGTGAGAACAATTAACCAGTGGAACAACCTGCCTCCAGAAGCGGTGAATGCTCCAACACTGGAAGTTTTTAAGAAGAGACTGGACAGCCATTTGTCTGAAATGGTGTAGGGTTTCTTGCCTGAGCAGGGGGTTGGACTAGATGTCCTCCAAGGTCCCTTCCAACTTTATTATTATTATTATTATTATTATTATTATTATTATTATTATTATTATTATTAATAATAATAATAATAATAATAATAATAATAATAATAATAATCTCAAGGTTCATTAAAAATACTGTAGACTAAGGGCAACCCAGCCTGTTTTCCACGATGGGTAGGCGGATTCAAGAATAATTTTTGATTTATTTTACTGTCACAGTAATTAGTTAACAGCCAGTACAGTCAAGAGAGGCTGGAAAGAGATTAGAATAAAATGTTAACTAGTGGGANTAATAATAATAATAATAATAATAATCTCAAGGTTCATTAAAAATACTGTAGACTAAGGGCAACCCAGCCTGTTTTCCACGATGGGTAGGCGGATTCAAGAATAATTTTTGATTTATTTTACTGTCACAGTAATTAGTTAACAGCCAGTACAGTCAAGAGAGGCTGGAAAGAGATTAGAATAAAATGTTAACTAGTGGGATTTTTTCTTCCTGCTTTGTCTATTAGTCCTTCGGGAGCCTTTCTGAATAGCGATCGCCCAATAAAATGGGAACACTTTTAGGTCTTCCATCTCATTAATATGTGAACATTATTTGAGATTACTTAATTGTGCTGTTAATATTATAATATTGAGCTGAAGAATCATTGCGTTAATAAGTTCGAGGATCAGTTGAGATCTGTTTTCTGGCCCTCATTTGTTTGATCCATAATTGTAATAGTGGAGTGTGATTTGCAGATGCAAGGATGGCCGTCACAAAACCCCGTTTTGCTGCTTCTTCCCTTTCTAGAAAATCACCAAATCGAGAAGATTTAATTTTGAACAACATCGCCGGGGATAAGTACATACAGGAAAACCTTCTGGGGTTAAAATTCCGGATTTCACCCCATGCTTTTTTCCAGGTAATTTTTCACGATGTTGTGTTTAAGCCTGGTTTTTGCAGCTGGGATTATTAGCTGTTCTTTGGAAGTGATTTTTTAGGAAAATGGAGGAACTGCCTATTTTCCTGGGTCCTTCCCCCCCAAAATAAATAAATAAAATGAGAAGAATTTGTGTCAGGATTAACTGTAAACCTCCCAGTGCATTAAAACTTTAAGGGGTAAAATTATACAAGCTGATAATCGTGTCTTGAAGAATTGAAATAACAGGCATACAGGCATAAAGAATTGAAATAAGAGGTATACATCTGCATTTTAAGGGCCCTCCTTTCTTTTGGCTAGCTATTAAATAAGTAAAATAAATCAAGAGTGCTGTAATTTTATACCTAAGTGTTGGTGGGTGACGGAAATAAAAGATATTGTGACTTTCTTTTAAAAGTCTCGCAATTTCCTTGTTTCTCCCTATGATCCAAATGGGGCTTTTACACTTTTCAATATGCAAAGCTCTATTTAAGTTTTTCGCTGTAACTTTAATTTGGTATTCCAGTTTGACGGGAAGTCAAATTTACTTCAACCCGCGGAGATTTTTTGCCAGTGGCTTGTTCCCTGCTTGTTAGGTGAGTTAGTAACAAGAATAATGTTGGACTTCACAGATAAACACTAAGGCAGCCGAAGTTCTCTATTCAACCATTCAGGACTGGGCCGAGATTAACCAGGATACGACAGTGCTGGATGTTTGCTGTGGGACTGGATCAATTGGCATCTCTCTAGCACAGGTAAAGGAACAGGTGTGCTTCCTATTTCCACGAGGAAGGGGGAGCAGAGACATCACAATTCCCCCCCCCCCCCCAGTATGTAGGCCTAGATTTACAACCGCAATCAGGACTGAAATTTCCATTGCTAAGCCAGGCAATTTTTTTTTCTTGAATAGGGATTTTAATCCACCCAAATTAAATACAGAACCACAAAAAATAACCATAACAAGTTCAGAGTCGGAACCGATGGACCCTATGTTCCGCTTGTTCAGTGGAAGAAGCGGATCACTGTAAGGAATCTGCTGTCCCACAGACCAGAACTGAGCTAAATTCTCTTTGTGTAAAGGTCCCTCTCCCCGTATATAAACGTGAAATTCAGTGCAACAGCAAAAACATTTCCAGAGCAGGACAACGATCTTCTAAGGCGAAGATGGCTTTGGCTGATCAATTCTCTGGCTTTTGAACCCGCGCCCAATTTTGCTAACTTTTTTTTTGGGCCATCGTTACGCTTATAAAGCCAGCAACGCATTAACCGGTTATTGCTTTTTATCCTGCAGAAAGTGAAGAAAGTTATCGGAGTGGAACTGTGCGAAGAAGCGGTTGAAGATGCCAAAGCAAACGCTCAGCTTAACGGTAAAATGATAAGATGTCGAAACTTCTTGTTTTCATCAACTCGAGATTTCTAGCAGAATTAAATGCGAGAATGGCATTCTGTTGTTATATATAACGCACTAGTGGTTCTTAACCTGTGGTCCACGGATCCCACGGGGGGTCTGCGAAGGCTTGAAAAAATGTTAACCGAATCTTGAGTTAAGTCTTGGGGGTCCCTGGCCATAAAAGGTATTTAAAAGGGTCTGTGGGGGAGAAAAGGTTGAGAACCACTGCAGTACACAAACTCTAGATATGCAATTGCAGACGAGAAATTCTGGGGTGGGTGTTATGACATTTCTTACGTTAAGACATTAACATACAGTAGTGGCCAAAATTGTGGAAACCTTTTGGGAAAAGTGTATTTTTGAGGTTTGATGGCTAATAACACCACTTTTTTTGGGGGGGGG